GGCTGCCAACCAAAAGGTCAGTGGTTCACATCAACTGCAAAAGTTGTGACAGTCGGCTTTTGTAAAGATTTACAGCCTTGGAAGCCCTATGGTGCAGTTCTGCTCTGTCCTATGGGATCACTATGAGTCAGAATCTACTCAGTGTCAGCGGGTTTGGTTTGGGTAGGGCAAGTGATTTACAATTGACCGTGAACCTAGAGTTGGCAGTTCAAACCCACCTAGCAGCTCTGTGGGGAAAAGAGTTTAGTGAACTGCTCTTGTAAAGATTACAGCCAAGAAAACTCATGGAGCAGTTTTATTCTATAACACATGGAGTCTCCGTGAGTCAGGGCCAGACTGAACAGTAGCTAACAACAACAAAAAACAACAAAATACAAATGATAACTAACAAGACGTAGCCAATGTTGAAGACTCCTGAAGCTTTAGGAATGTCAGTAAATAAATAATCTGGAGTGTTTACTGACACTGGTGATTATAAAAAGATTAATTAATAGGGCGGCCTTAATAGTGAATTGGGTCACCTTGTTTTAGAGATATGTCATTATTGATCCAACCCTAGTTATTCTTTTGATTTCAGATTGTGTTATTCAATAAAACCTAAAAGGTAAATCTACAGACAGTTGGAGATTACTTTATATCTTGATAAGTGAATAAAGCCTAGGAATATCTATTGTTTTACAGAGCTAACAAAACCACAGGCAAAGGCTTTGAAAATAAACATTTCCATTCCTCTCTGGATTCTATATCTATAGAACAACATCTTTACATTGTTGCTGGCTTGCCTCATATCTTTTGCCTTCATCTTTCTGTAATACCAAACTCAGAGCGATTGTGACTTTTCTATTCAACCAAACCAAGTTTCTGTACAAAACAGATTAAATGTACAAAGACCATCTAGAAATCAGAAAGAAAAATGTGAAAGTCCTCTTGGAAAATGGGAAAAAAAACACCAACAGAAAAATCATAGGGAAGAAAATAAAAATGCTTCGCTTCACTTATTAAAATGATGGAAAGGAAGACAATGAGGTTGTTTCAACTTATCAAATTGGAAAAAAAAACAAAGTTAAAAATATATATGCTGTCAATAAATATAGAAGGGAATGTATACTCCTACATTTTTGGTAGGTGTGTAGACACAGGTAACCATATTTGGAAGACAATTTGGCTACCTGTATTATGACCCTATAATTTTACGTCTAGGAATTTTTCCTACACGTATTTATTGCAACATTGTTTACAGTAACAAGAAAATTGAAGATAACATAAATATCCATCAATAAGGCCTCATATATATCCAAGAGTTTTTCTTGTGTGTTTGTGTGTGTATGTAGCTCTGGTGGCGTAGTGCCGAAGGCATTTGATTGCTAACCAGCCACTCCTTAGAAGGAAGGTTGGGCAATCTACTTCTGTAGTGATACCTCCTTGGAAATACTCAACAGCAGTGAGTTTGGTGTATGTATATACACACACACAAAAAAAAATAATCTGAGAGGACACAGGTGAAACAATTAGTAGTGGCACTTCCTACCTTTCATAAGTGTGTATCACCCTTGACCTGTGTTTGACGCCGGCGCAGCTGGGTTTAGCAGACCTTGGCTTCTCTTGTTCCCTCAGTTTTCTGACAATCCTTCAATCTCTGCAAGATGAAAAGAAAGACCCAACTCAGAAAATCAAAGTGAAGGGAGATTGGTTAAGGAATCTACCCTAACCACATTATTGAGAACAGTATTCTCAAATCACATATAAAGGAGATATGCGGAAATTATTAGAGCAATGGAACAAATTGGAAGTTCACCTTTAAAAATCAGAGCCAAAATTATCTTCCTTCTTTGAAGTTAGTGGATGACAAAACAGCCTAAATTTATTCCCAATCCTTGGCCACAACCAGACGTCCTGTTTGTAATGGGGATATGGAAAATGTCCTATACTCATATTCCCAACAGAAATTCAATCCAGTAGAGCTAGAATTATTCATTTTTCCCTTCATCATCTTCCTGGGCACCTCCAAGTCCAGCTCCCTTTGTCTTGGGGTCCTACTTTCAGTCATAGTAGTAGCTCATTCAACAGCTATTTCCTGTCATACTTACTGTGGAAAAGGTGGCATTCATATGTTCTTTATTATCCCACTATACTTTTTATTTTTATAGGGGCAAAGTACATGTCATAAGCCTTGCAGTTTCTCAAAAGGTGGCAAAAGTGAGAACTCAAAATATCAATCTTTTAAAATAAATGATTGCTCTGTATATTTTCTCCAAGAAATACTTCTATTAGGGTTATTCTTTACAAGTATTTGCTTGTGCACCTATGATACATAAGACACCAACGGGGTTGCAAGATAAATAACTAGTGTTTATCAAACACAGTTCTAAAGACTTTACAAGTAATAGCTGGTTTAATCCCTACAAGAATCCCATGGAGTGTGTACCATTATAATTTCTATTTGCCAACAAGAAGGAAACTGAGACCCAGAGATGTCAAAGAATTGGTAATTGGTACAAAGTCAGATGACTAGTAAGTGGAAGATCCAAGAATTCTTCCTCTAAGTCTGTGCCTCAGCTACTGTGTTCCATAGACTCTCAGTATACCCAGAGTTACATTATAAGCCAGGAAATATTAAATCCCTTTAATGACACAAAATACATCAGGAATTCAGACAGAGAATGTTTCTGGGTGGGATGGTCCTGGTACCTCTCAGCAGAATTTTAAGTAAGATTTTAATAGGTGGAATGGGGTAGGGGATCACTAGCCATGCAGGTAAAAGCTCTCAACCCCCAAATGTAGTGCACAGCATGTGATGCAAGTAAATGGACTAGGTATGAACTAGGATTAGTTTTTCAGGAAATAAGGAACTCTGGTAGCTTAGTGCCTCAGGCACTTGACTGCTAACCAGATGGCTGGTGGTTCAAACCCACCAGCCACTCCTCGGAAGGAAGATGGGGCAATCTACTTATGTAGTGATACTGTCTCAGAAACCCAAGCAGGGGTCGCTATGAATCGGGTCCGACTCGATGGCACATAACAACAACAACAAATGATCATCTAGATCATAAGGAAAGGGTATACATGTTTCATTGGTTCTCTTTTGCTGACTCCCCTTAATAGGGAAACATTAAGATGGAATGTATAGAATCAGGATGATAGAAGGAGCAGTGTAGTTCATGTACTGCATTGCATTCATTCTACAAATGGTCAAGGTTCGAGGTCCTGCCTAAATTTATATGGTGAATTAACCCAGAACTCCAGCCTCCCAGTTTACTGCTCTTTGCTCTGCATCATGTTAGTTGTGGAGGTGGAGGGGGTACTTTTCTTATCCCATCTGACACAGCATTGATAGGAAAAGTTGCCATGAACTTCATGGCACTGTCAAATCCTTAGACCTTTATCCCCCCATCTTCCCTCTTGAGACCATTTTCTCTGCTGTGTCCTGAAAGTTAATTAAGGCATTATTAACAAAATGAGAGACACAACCAATATACACCTCATATCCCAGAATTTCTGTTCTTAACTACTATGCCATTAATCTTACCCTGGTTGATCTTTGTTAAAGTGCCATTTTAAGTTTTGGTAATTAGGATTTGGTAACTGCAAAAAAAAAAAAAAAAAAAGAGAGAGAGAGAGAGAAGTAAACAGAAAATACCAGTGTGCTGTTAACGCTGCAGGAAAGATGTAGCTAAGCCCATTTCAAGCTTGCTTCCATCAGCAAGTGCTTGGGCTGCATTTTGGGAGTTGGGGAGGGGAGTTGGGCTGTTGTCTATTTGAAGCTTTACTGGTAGTATTTAGCAAATGGTGTAATTGCTGTACTCAGCAAGAGAGAGGCCTGGGAAGAGTGTGCTCACAAGCTGAATTTATGTTCTCAGAACATCCTAATTAGTAATTTTCTGGAAAAATATATAGTAGTTACTCTCAGTTTGTTATTTTGCAAACTATTGAGAATCTAGGGGAACCAACCCTTAACATTTTGTGCTTCAAGGATGTTGCTTTAAGTCCCATTAATAGATTCTAATGAAAAGGCAGTTTTGCCAGGTTATGGGTACTGAGGAATTACCAAGAGATATTCCATGAAAAGCAGAGTGAGACTCTACCATACCTCTCACCAACCAGCTACGCCTTGCCCAGTCCCCACCTCACCACTATTGCTACCAGTTGTAACTGCTCTGAGGAGCCCTTGGATGCAGTACTAACCAAAAGTTGGTGGTTCAAACTCACTAGCTGCTCTGCAGCAGAAAGATGAAGCAATCTGTTTCCTAAAAATCCACAACCTCGAAAACTCTGGCGATCTGCTCCTGAAAAATTGGCCGTTGAAAACCCTGTGGGACACAGTTCTACCCTGACACAGATGGGTTCACCATGAGTCTGAATCAACCGCAATCAACCATAGCAATAGATAGAGATATGTCTTCTTGACCAGGAAAAAAGAGAGGAGAATGTGGGGATCATAATAAAATGTTACACATGTCTTTCAATTCCTCTTTAAAAAAAAGAAAAGAACTACATTTTCCAAAGCTAATTTGCTTAATTTATGTCAAAAGTAGCTAATCTTAAGAATAGAGCACTTGTTTGTCCAGAAATCTGAAAAAAAATGTTCTATGACAGAGGAAATCTACATCCCATCTTGCCCCAGAAGACACAAAATTGAAAGACGAATACTTGTTACTATAATTAATATAACAACAACTATATTGTTGAGGACTTACTAAGTGCTAAGCATTGTTATAAACACATAATCCTTTCAACCACCACAGCGATTATGGATGCCAAAACAGAATCAGGAAGGACATGTGCTCCAGCAAAGGGACTATAAAGACCTGTTTAATTGAAAACTGATAAGACAGGACACAGCCGGTACAGAGGACTGTTTGACATTTTGCATAGGTCTTAATGTGCAACTCGGTTGCCATCATTTGTATAAATTTACATAAATTGGATGATTGGTCTGCTTTAAGAAATTATGTATCTGACCATTGGGTTGTAGAAATTTCAAAGATTTTATTTTTTGACAGGATGCCTGCCGTTTTTCTCTCTTGACTCCCGCTTGTTTTATTCATTTTGGGGTACTTGCCAATTAGACCCAATTGGTAAGTATAATTAATGGACAACTTGAATTTCTCCTTAAACTCTCATCAAGAAAATTAACCTTAGGAACATTCATTTCTTTTAAAATTTTCTAACAATATCCCTCCCTATGCTGCTTATCTCTCTCTTCTAAGACATTCTCAAACTTCAGAGATTAGTTATTCCCCAATGTTTGTATCATCTTAAAAATAACAGGAGTCCTTGGGTGGCACAAAGGTTAAGCACTGGACTACTGACCTAGAGGTTGGTAGTTCAAACCCAACCAGGGACCCCTCAGAAGTAAAGCCTGGTGATCTGCTTCCAAAAGGGCACAGCCTGGAAACCTGAGTGCTGTTTACTCTGCAGATGTAGGGCTGCTCTTTGACTCAGAATTAACTCAGTGGCAACTAACAACAACAAAAATGCCATATACGATGGGGTGGCAGTATTATTAGGAAGGAAGAAAATGAACATTTATTGATGTCCTATTATATTCCAGCACTGTGCTAGACATTTTCATATATATTATCTCTTTTAATACTCACAAAACCCTTCCAGGTGGGATATCATCCCTTTTTAAAATTGATTAAATGGCAGCTCAGAGAGATTAGGCCTTTGTCTTAATTCCAGTTGGTGGCACAGTCAGGTGCAAACCTAGGCTGATGTGAACCTTTACTCCTCCCACCTCACAGATGAGAGCATTGTTTCCTCCAAAAAGAGGTTCCTCTAAAATTTCAGTATGCTGGAAGTTTGAGATCATTAATTCAGTAACTATTTGAGCACTAACTCCTTGTCAGATATGAGTTGAGCATCACTGTGGTTAGAATGAATCATCAGCAGAACTTTGAGCAGAAGAGGATGGTTATAGGCAAGATGTTGGAGGAACAACATGAAAAGGCTGCAGGACAGGGTGCTGGCGTAGAAGGACAGGGTGCTGGCGTAGAAGGCGGAGTGGGAAGGAACAAAGGAGCTTCTGATCGTGTACCCATGGCTACAGTTTTCTTCATGTGACTCGTGGACTTCCCTTTGTCATCCTATGCCTGAGAATATATGAAGGAGGCTGGGAAGGCAAAGGGACGTTCAATTGTCATCACTGGCATCTTTTTGATCATTGCACCATCATCAAAAGCATTGGGATGACCATGACATGATAGTTTCCATCACTGAGCCCATAACTTTTCCATAAGATAGATAACAATTCTAGACATTAAGTGTCATATGGGAACTTCATCCAGGGAGCCCTAGAGGTGGGAAGAAGATAGTTTTATATTCTCATAGACTAACAACCCCAAGTTCAAAGCACCTGACTTCAAAGGCGAGTTAAGCTTCCTCTGGGCAGGTTATAACTCATTGCTTCTTTAACCTATTCAGCTCAATCATCCAGACTTTGTATCAAGTACAAGAAAGATCTTCCAAACCAAACACACTGCCATCAAGTCAGACTCGACTCATAGTGAACCCTCCCCCTTGGGTTTCTGAAGCAATATCACTATGGAAATAGGTTGCTCAACCTTCTTTCTGAGGAGTGGCTGGTGGGTTTGAACCACCAGCCTTGTGGTTAGCAGTCAAATGCCTTAGGCACTATGCCACCAGAGCTCCCCAAGAAAGATCTTACTGCCTATAAATTCAACTAATTAGGTAAAAGACCTGCCAAAATACAAATATCTAATTCATGATCAATAACTTCGAACTGTGAGTGACTTGCCGTTTTTCAGATGCTTGTGATGCAACATGTTCAAAGTTTTCTCAGCCTTTTAGAGGGTCTCAGCCTTTTAGAGGGTCTTCCCTGGGAATTATATATAATATTTATGTAAAGATGACAGCATAGTCTAGCCCTACCCTTTTCTCATCTTATGAAAGGGACTCACACAGGTCGGCTGTGTCACAGAAATGGTTGTTAATAAAAAAGCCACATTGGCAATAAAGACAATGGAGCCAGAAGCATAACTTTGGGGAAGCAGAAGACATTTAGTGAGAAGCTGTGTTTCAGCATTTGCCAGTCTCATTTTGCTGATCCATTTCCTCATGCAAGTTAGGAGACCTCTTTCAGAAAAGAGGCTTCTTATCTAGGAATTACTCTGGGACTAGGGCAGTTTCTGAAAATGAGTCTGAGCAGGGACCTGTCCACCATTCTGTTAAGATCCCTTAGGTCCTTTTATATAGAGGAAAGAATGCTGAAATCTCATTCTGATGAAAAAGACACGGGTTGCAAGTGTTTGACTGACATTTTGGTCTCCATGTCAGCTAAGATTATTGTCACTGGTCAGATCTAATAGGCTCCTATCATGACACAGACCTTCTTGATGGGATCCAATCTTTTCCCTGTTTCACTGCTAGTAAGCAGATCCTTTGTTATCTTTTCCTCTTGTTTTTCTAGCTCCATCCCTTGCCACAACATTATGGACCTAGTTATGGACCATACAATCCAAGCTACTTCTAGTCTTCCTTCAATGGCCCTTCCTTTCAGGTGTGTTTTTGTCCCTTTTTGACATTTGCTGAAATTCTATCCTCTATCCACTTTATAATCCTGCATTCCCTCCAATTCTCTGCTCAAAAGTCCTTTCTTTTTTCACTCCCCTGCTCGGCCTAGTTATTCACCACATCCTCCACACTCCTAAAGTACTCTGTGTAAACCTCCATTATTAAACCTCCATAATAGTTCTACTTCTTTTGCTAGAATGACTATCTGTCCTTGCCCTGACTGTCTACATCACCCCCCATCATCTGTAGATTGTGAGCTGTGAGCTCCTGGTGAGCAGAGCCTGTCTTATCTTTGTCATCCTGTAAGCCTAACTCAGTGCCTGCCACCTACATGTTGTTGTTGTTGTTATGTGCCGTTGTCGAGTCGGCCCCGACTCATAGCGACCCCTCCTTGGGTTTCCAAGGCAGTATCACTACGGAAGTAGGATTGCCCAACCTTCCTTCCGTGTAGGTGCTCATAATTTTTTTTTAATAAATATCAATACTTAGTTTTCTTTTCCTTGGCCTTATATTTAGCTTTTATTTCCAGCCTGACATAGAAATAGAATAGAAGCATTTATGTATAAAAAGCTATAAAGAAAAGGCAGATAATAAAACAATAATTATGTGGAAAGACTGAGAGGATGAGAAATAAGTTAGAACATATGCAGGCAAAGACGATCAGCCACACCTCTGTGATAGGCATGAAAGCATTGAATTTTAGAAATTTGTGTTCCTGTTGAATCATTATTATTGTTAAATAATTTCCATCTTATGAACTTAGAGTCTAAGGATTTTTATTTTTTTATTGATTTATATTTTTGGCAGCATTGCCATCACAGCTTGATTCTTTTCGTTTACACAGAAAGGAGAGAACTATCGACTTTTTTCCACTTATTTAAAGTGATAATTGCCCATGGCTGCTTTTCAGTCTAGATTAGGATCAACCCAAGCAGTAGCTATGCATTGCTAACTTTAGAAAGTTAGACAAACATTTAAAAAAAAAAAAAAAAAAGTGCAAAAACTTGTGCTGACTGAGTCCTGCTCTGCCATAATCAACAATTTTACAGTGGGCTGTATTTAGAGAAAATTCCTGGGGGGTCTTAAAGAAAAGTGAACTGAACTTTTAATTTGTCTAAGATACTTAAAAGAGCTCTGGTGGCATAGTGATTAAAGCATTTGGCTGCTAACCAAAGGCTCAGTGGTTGAAACCTACCAGCCACTCTGCAGAAGAAAGATGAGGCAGTCTGCTTCCATAAAGATTTACAAACCCAATGGGGGTCATTATGAGTTGGAATCGACTCAATGGCAGTGAGTTTGATACCTAAGCCTGGGGCATTTATCACAGGACCATTCAAAGGCCGTTCCTAGGATGTATAATTTGCACCATCCCTTCTAAATACTATTTGGATCATTCCAAGCCATTAGAACTACTGAATATAAACTCACTGCTGTCAAGTCGATCCAGACTCATAGCGACCCCTCCATGGGTTTTACAGAAGTAGATTGCCTAGTCTTTCTTCTGAGGAATGGCTGGTGGGGTTGAACCACCAGCCTTCTGTTTAGCATCAAATGCCTTATGCACTACACCACCAGAGCTCCTAGTGAATGTACAAGAGACCTCTAATTCATATAGTCTTGAAGAATGACTAGAAATAGTGCCCTGCTTGTCATTAAAGGAGTTCTAGTGGTGCAGTGGTTAATGCATTCAGCTGCTTAGCAAAAGGTCAGGGGTTCAAACCCAGAAGCACCTCCACAGGAGAAAGATGAGGCAGTCTGTTCCATAAAGATTTATAGCCTTGAAAACTCTATGGGGCAGTTCTACTCTGTCCTACAGGGTCAATGTGAGTGCAATCGACTCGATGGCAGTGGTGCATAGTTTCATTAATAAAGTGGCCATAGACTGTAATGAATAAAAATCTTTTAACCTTGAACAACTACCTCAAGATCACTAACCTGAGAGAAAAATTAGGAAAGTACAGATTTTATGCCCTACTACTGGCCAGATAAGCAAACATCTAATAATTTTTCTTTTTGTTACCCATAGCTAAAACAAATAGGCAGCCCTTCCCCCTCACTGAACAGGATTGTCCTTGCTCTGTGTGTAGAGGCTAGATTTCAAAAGCTGTGCAAAGAGTTCCATACACCACAACCCTGCAAGCACACACCAAACCAAACCACAGTCAGAGAAATCAACAACTCTTGTTGACTAAAAAGCCTTTGTTTCTCTGAGTCCAGTCCACATGGGGTTGTGTGAGCAATTGCTTCTGGAATGAGGCAAGATGAAAACACCGGCATGCTTTGCTAACACAAGGACTGAAGATTCAGTCATTCTTGTCATCAAACAAATCTGCGCTGAATCCTTCCTCATTAACAGCATTTCTTCCACCCAGAGGGAGAACACAGGCGACAAATCCTGACTCTGTGCATATCAGAAGTTACTATTAAATCATGGGGGAGATTTGGAAGAAAGCAATGATTAGATATGAGGTGGCCACCTGAAGAGTTTGGGGAGAAGCAGAAGTTTACTTCACCCTTATATTCCCATATTTAAATTCAATTT